CACTTCAGCTTCCCAAGGAGGTGGGACTACAGATGTGAGTCACATAGCCAGCTTTTTTTGCTTGTAGAGATGGAGTCTTGCTGTGTTGCCCAGGCTGGTCTCAAACTCCCAGGCTCAAGTGATCCACCCACCTCAGCCTCTGAAAGTACTAGGATCATAAGTGTGAGCCGCCGCACCTGGGCTTGGGGATTCTTAAATATTCGAGGATAGAAATCAGCTCCTGACTTGAGGGCCCTCAAGCAACCCTCTTGGGACCCCATCGTGCGTCTCTGGGAGCCCGGGGTGACTCACTGCTCGCATCCACGAGCTGCTAAAGTGCTGAGGTCCCAAAGCTCTGCAGCTTCTGCTCCTGCCCATAGAAGCGGGGCCCAGTAAGCAGGTGGGACCCTCGACCTCTGCCGCAGCTACTTTTGCCAACGTCACTCAGCAGGTAGGAGTCAAAGCAGGTGCTGACATCCAGGGTTCCAGGGCAGGGAGCCCCCTGCTTCTTCCTGTGGGATGTCTGAGCCACAGTCTGCCTGCCAGCACGCATGGCATTGAGGCCCCGGATGGAGCCCGCTACCTCACAGCATCTTGTGGTGGGGGCTGCAGGGAGTCCCATGGTCTTGCCTTCTGGTCTCTGCAATGTGGTATTTAAATGGGTCTTGAGCTAAGGCCCCAAGTTAGATTGACAAAGCCATGGAATTCAATCATTTAATGCCTGATGTCTACAGCCTCCTCCCTAGGAGCGGCCCTATGAGAGCACACGTGCACTGTGGTCCTGTAGCACGGGGGTCACTTATGTCTGAGGCGGCAGTGCCTGGTGCCTGGCCTCAGCTGCTCCAGAGGCTGACAGATGAAGGACACGGACGTCACCCAGCCAACGGGAGCCACTACCTCTCCACCTGGATGGGACGCAGTGTCAGGACAGGCTTGCCTCTCCCCACAGGGCAGCTACTGGCCTTCAATGTACTCAGGACAATCTCTGCACAGCCCAGTTTGGAAACTCGTGGCTGTGCTGCTCCCCTCGTTTCCGAAAAGGACAGCTTGATGTCATCAACTTCTGGGCCTTTAATTCACCCCTTGGTTTGTGCCACTTTCAAATTTCTCTGAAGGCTCCTACTGGAAGGAAAGCTCTTTCCAGACTGAATGCTGGACCCTCGAAGGGTATGTTTAACTGAAACCTGCAAAGGGGATTCTATTTGGAAAAAGGATATCTGGGCCGGGCACGGTGGCTCACACCTGTAACCCCAGCACTTTGGGAGGCTGAGGCGGGCAGATTATCTGAGGTCAGGAGCTCAAGACCAGCCTGGCCAACATGGCAAAACCCCATCTCTACTAAAAAGAAATACAGAAAAATTAGTCAGGTGTTGTGGCACATACTTGTAATCCCAGCTGCTCAGGAGGCTGAGGCAGGAGAATTGCTTGTACTTGGAAGGGGGAGGTTGTAGTGAGCCAAGATTGCACCACTGCACTTCAGCATGAGCGACAGAGCGAGACCCTTGTCTCAAAAACAAAACAAAACAAAAAACAAAACAAAAAATGAAAGAAAGAAAAAGAAAAAGGATCTTTGCAGATGTAAGATTCCAAGGTGAGATCACACCAGATGATCCAGGTGGGCCTGAATCCCACGTCAAGTGTGCTTTTCAGAGAGCACACGGGGCGGAGGCCACGTGAGGACACAGACAGAGACTGGAGTGATTTGGCTGTAAGCCCCAGAAGCCTGGGGCCACCAAGAGCCGGAGGAGGCCGCGAAGGACCCTCACATGGAGGGGGCATGGCCCTGCCCACACCCTGCTCTCAGACTTCTGGCCCCCAGACTATGAGAGGTGAATTTCTGCTACAGTGAGCCACCTGGTTATGGCAGTCCGGGCAAACTCCTACATGATCCTAAGGCTGCCGACGGTATTTTTACTCCAGCAAACTCATCTATAACCCTACAGCTGTGTACCTTAGGGTTATGGAAGCAATAGGACAAAGGGGGTTGGGAAGCTGCCCTGAGGGCCCGGGATCTCCTCCACGAAGTGAGGCCTATAGAAACACGTGAGCTGCTGAACTGATGAGCCGGGAAGGCTTTCCACACATACCCACCCAGCGCTCCAAAGAGCCAAACCTCCCAGCCCTGGAAGAGCCTGAGGTTTCCTACACCCAAGAGGAAACAGTCCTACCAATGTGGAAGGGCAGTCACTCGTTCCCTCCACTCCTTCCTGCCTAGAATCCAAGCCAGAGCAGCGGGGAAGTGCCCCACCCCAAGGCGCATCCCATGGCCTGTCCTTGGGCAGGTCTATGCTTGACTCAGGCAGCCCCCCGGCTCCTCTCCATGCACCCCTAGACCTCGAGCCTGCCCTTGCTCTCTGCGTTCAATCTGCAAACGCAAATCATGCTGCCTGACACACTGTACCTCCTGCCAGCACTGGTCATGCCAACATGCTCCCTCCTTAAGTTCTCTGCCACTAAAATGAACCTTGGGCTTAGGCCCAGAAACAAAATCCAAACACAGGCTCAAGGTTTTGCTCTGCCCAGGGAGGGAGGCTGCCTCCTGGCTGCAGAGCGACACATGGAGAGGACCTGGCAGAAAGTGGCTGGGGAGAATAGCTCTGAAGTCCAGACGTGCAGATGGTCCAGTCATGACAAACCTGTGCTACACTCACAGGGAATCAGTGGGAGCTCCCTGGCAATGGGCATACCCCGAGTCTGGCATGAAGGGCACAAGGAGCCCTGGTGCTATCTTGCAAGCAGGTATTGTGCCTAGTTTGCAGGTGAGACTCCGGAAGGCTCAGAAACCAGGGCCAGATCCCTCAGCTGGAATTCCAAGATGAGGAGACACCTGCTTTGAGGTGGGACCCCCAGACACCTGGGTCAGTCCCCATAAGGAGCCTCTCCAGCCACCTGCTACACGCCACACCCCTGAGCCATTCTCCAGTCTCATTCCAAGTAGCATTGAGGCAAATCTCTGGGGCTCAGCCAGAGGCTCTGTTCTGCCGGTTTCTAAGTTTTCTTTCCCTACATTCAGCCATGTGAACAAGGCTTTGGAGTCCTAAGCCATACGATGATGATCAAAATCAAGAACAAACTCTTGCAAGAGCAGCTCTAGACTTTGGGGACGCTTCCCCTTGGAACTGCGGCTGGAAGCGGCAAACACCAGCCCCAAGGCCACTTCCAGGCTCTGTCTCCCAGTCCCTCCTGTGCCCACTAAGGCTGGTCCAGGCTGGTTGGGTCGCGGACATCTCAGCCCCTCCCTCATCGTATTGTTTCTCCTTGTCCAGCCGGTATTGGACGTCGGGGTATGGGAGCAAAACGCCTGCATGGAACCCTGTGGAGCCCACAGGTAAGGACGCCGGGCACTGGGGAGACCCCAGGTAGGAAGAGCAGCACCATCCTTACGAGACTCCACCTGAGGTGAGCAATCAGAGGACACCCCTCCCTTGAGTCACTGGGAGTTAGAGAACAAGGGACATTGCTGGGGTATCCCAGGTGAGTCAAAGAAAGAAACAGTTTGCCCAGTGAAGTAGGAGGTGGACGGAAGGAGGGACAGGACAGACATTGCAAGACCTGCACAATTCTGCCAAGACAGTGGATGCTGTCCTCAGAGCCCCCTGGTTCCACACTCCCTGGCTGCCCCTGCTGTAGGGACCCTGCACCTTTCTTCCCAAGCCCAGTCCTACTTCTGACTCTGCCCAAGCAATCCACCAGCCTGTGGTGACCTCCCCCACCCGCCTCAAGCTAGGAGTGTCCCAGAGCACTGCTTAATAGCCGGGGCCACAGAACCTGTGCACCCTGACGGTCCCAGGCAGGGTCTGCCAGCAGCTGGCTGGAACACGGGCTCAAGTGAGACCGCCTGTGAAGCACAGCACCCTGCCCAACAGGACTTCCACTTCACTTTGGACTTGAACCCTCTACCTTTCCACACTCAACTCTGCTCGGTCCTCCTGGGGGCATGCCTAGGTCAGCCCTCAGATTCCACCGAAGCTCTGCTCCCCACTTCCTGCCTTCCTCCCAGGTTAGCCCGCACCGCAGGCCCCACCGTGCCCAAGTGGCCCTTCTTTACATCCCGCGGGGCCCAGCACACGGACCGGGCATACCTGCTCCCATCCCCAAGGACCAGGCGATAGGTGGGCAGCATGGGCGAACCACCACCCTGCAGGGCACCCCCAGCCCTCCTGCTGACTCGACAAGGCCAGGAAGTGCCCGTCGTCCTGGTTCTGCCTCGGCTCTGCGTGACACCCATGCCACTGCACCCAGGCCTCTCTTACCCCTCCACGGGCCACTTAGCTGCAACCAGGAAGCCGTGGGCTAACGCGTTTTAAAAAGTGGCTCCCTAAAGCCGATCCGCACAGTCCCGAACTGTTTTTGGGGCTTTTCCTCGTCAGAGCAAACACCTGCAGGGATGCCGCTCTGCCAGAGGGTGCAAGGCAGTCCCCGCCCCACCCTCTTCCCTTTGGCCACCTCCTGGCGTGGTCAGGCCAAGAGTGGAGTCCACCCTCGTGGGCACCGTGACCTCACTCGGCGTCTTCCTCCCTCTTCCCGACCTCCTGACCCACAGGGGCCCAGCAGGTGAGCGCGCTAACGCCTCGAGCTCCACGTCCGCCTCTGCGTTCCAGCGGGGCAAGGTCCCGGCTCGCGTGACTGCTCCGGGACTCCTCGGGGTTCTGCGGCATTTCTTCGCCTCCGGGAGCCTCACCACCGCCCCCCCCGCCCCCGCGGCAGTCGGCCCGATCGGCGGGAAGGGGCGAGGACGAGCGGCTGCGCCACAGCTAGTGCACAGGGCTCCCTCCTACCCGTGCACCCCGACGCCGGACACTTCCCACCCGCAGGGGCCCCCAGAGCGCTCAGCCCTCCGCTTCCGCCCCCGCAAGCCAAGCAGAGCGGGCGACCCATCCTGCGCCTGTCTCCCGGGCGCCAGCGCCAGGCTCTGCCCGCAGCTCCCAAGCCTCCTTCGGATAACTGAGGCTCGTCTCGGGCAGCCCCGCCAAGGTCACGGGCTCGGGTTACGTAAGCCCGGGCTGCGGACCGATGCGTACCTGCAGCGGGAACGTGGCCGCCCGGTTGCCCACGTAGCCGCGGACGACGTGGCTCTGTATGGAGAGCACCCGGCACTCCTCCTCCATGCCGGGCCTGGCCGCGGCGGCGCGGGGCCGAGGCGGGGGCACGGTCTCCGCCGCTAGCTCGGGCTCCGGCTCGGCTCGGTTCGGGCTCGGGCTCCGACCCCTGCTCCCCTCGGCTCCGACTCCGGCTCTGGCGTGCGGCGGCCTCGGTCGGCGCAGACGCCTCCTTCTGACCTCAGCTGGCGGCTCCGAACCCGCGAGTTCCGCGCGGCGCCGGGGGCGGGCCGAGGGCGGGCCGGGGCGGGGACAGCCGCGCGGGCTCCTCCCCCGGGCTGGGAGGAAGCGAAACTCGACCCTGGCCGCGCCGCCACGCCCGGTGGCCCCCGCCACTCTGCCGCCGGAAACGCTGGGTTTGCACTGTCATTCCACCGGGAGAGGGCTCTGGAGCGCCGTTCGTTCATTCATTCAGTCAACACGCGTGCTCCGCTCCAGCCCTGCGCCCCGCGCCCAGCCGCGCGCAGGGGAGACTCGAAGGCCCGGGCGCCACGCCCCTGACCTTCGGGCGCGACATTCTCACCAGCCGGAGAGCCACGAGAGTGCACGCGGGCGTGGGAAGAGTGCTGAGGCGCGGAAGTGACCCTAGACTCCGGATCCCCAAGGGAACCACGCTCTCAATTGCCTGCAGGGTCTGGAGCCCACATCCAATCCACGTCCCCTCCTACGGGCCGCGGGAGCTGACAAACACGGGGCCGATGGGACCCAGTCTCCCCCACACCGGCCTGGGGTGGCGGGCTTCTCTGGGACGCCCCAGACCCTTGTGGACCCTGAGTACCCCCTCCGGTGGCCCGGCCTGCAGAGGCCCCCAGCCCCCAGCCACATGCCCGGCCCTCCATCCACAGGTGCCCGGGCCTGGGCCGCGTGTCCCATCCCAGTCCAACCCGGTCTTCCTGTGGAGGGCCTGCCTTCCACGAACCTGACCCCCTAGGGGATCCCACAGCCTTCACTTCCCACCCCTGCGCTCTCCACAGACACACTCCCTGCGGCTTCCCTGCACCACCCCAGGGAACGGAGGCCTTTGGGTTCCAGACTTGTAGACATGGTGATTTGGGTCTCTGGGGTCAGTATCACCAGACTAAAGTCTTGGTGACCTAACACAGTGCACTTGCGGCTCTGCAGCTTGGTGAGACCCGATGCCCGACCAGGCGGTGCTGAGGACTGAGGGAGGAGGACATTACTTAGAGATCCAGGTTTTAAAAAGAAAGTACATCGTGAATAGTGATAATCGTCCATTAATAATAGCTAACATTGGCCAGACGCAGTGGCTCAGGCCTGTAATCCCAGGACTTTGGGAGGCTGAGGTGGGCGGATCACCACAGCAAGCGATCTAGACCATCCTGGCCAACATGCTGTCTCTAGTAAAAATACAAAAATTAGCCGGAAGTGGTGGGGCGTGCCTGTAGTCCCAGCTACTTGGGAGGCTGAGGCAGGAGAATCACTTGAACCCAGGAGACGGAGGTTGCAGTGAGCCAAGATCACGCCACTGCACTCTAGCCTGATAACAGAGTGATACTCCGCCTCAAAAAATAATAATAGCTAACATTTAAGCAGTGCATGGTGGCTCACACCTGCAGTCCCAGCTACTAAGGAGGCTGAGGAGAGAGGATTGCTTGAGCCCAGGAGGTGGAGGCCAGCCTGGACAACATAAGGTAAACCACCTCTGAAAAATAATAGGCCAGGTGTGGTGGCTCACGCCTGTAATGCCAGCAATTTGGGAGGCCAAGACGGGTGGATCACTTGAGGTTAGGAGTTCAAGACCAGCCTGGCCAACATGGTGAAACCCCGTCTCTACTAAAAATACAAACATTAGGTCGGGTGCGGTGACTCACACCTGTAATCCCAGCACTTTGGGAGGCTGAGGTGGGCAGATCTTGCAGTCAGGCGTTTGAGACCAGCCTGGCCAACATGGTGAAACCCCATCTCGGCTAAAAATACAAAAATTAGCCAGATGCAGTGGCATGCACCTGTAATCCCAGCTACTTGGGAGGCTGAGGCAGGAGACTCACTCAAACCCAGGAGGCAGAGGTTGCAGTGAGCCAAGATCGCACCACTGCACTCCACCCTGGGTGACAAGGTGAGACTCCATCCCCCACCCGCCCCCCAGAAAAAAAAAAAAAAAAAAAAAAAGCCAGGCGTGGTGGTGCCTGTAATCTCAGCTACTCGAGGGGGCTGAGGCAGGAGAATCACTTGAACCCGAGAAGCAGGGGTTGCAGTGAGCCGGTATCATGCCACTGCACTCCAGCCTGGGCGACAGAACGAAACTCCGTCTCAAAAAATAATAGAAATAATAATAACAGCTAACATTGAGCACGTACTGTGCGCTGAGCATGTTTCATGCATTAACACATTGAATCTTCACACTACTTTACAGAAGAGTGTAAACTAAAATAAAATCCTAAGCCCCCCTCCACCAAGGAAGGGAACACCAGAAAAACCCTAAAACTGAGTTCCTGGTCGTGAGGGAACAGGAGGTCAACTGCATCTTTTTACCCCCTCCTTTTAGGGTTTATGCACAGCACTGAATAGCACTAAAGTTAAAATAGAGACCTTAAGACCCACAGAACAGACTCTGTGGCAATAAGATATCAAATTACAAACGGGACCTCAGGCCACAGCAGGCAAGGGTCAGCCTTGTACCCTAAACTGAGAGAACGGATTCTGCCCTCACGCCACAGCTGCTTTTTCTCCAGCAGCTAAACACACACTGGCCTGGCAATGAGCAAGATTCAAATGACTGCAGCTCATCCACCCACAGACGCCAACTGACCACGTTCCACAGCCTTGACCACAGCTCTGACTGGGCAGAAGCCTGACTTCAGGAACCTCCTCCTGATAAGGGACCCCCTACCATGGACCGGCTCTGGCCGATTTACAGAGGCTGTGCACTGGAGTGCCTTTGTGTCCTGATTAGACCTCTGACATTTAGGGCCTCATTGCAACACATTGACATGTTAAGACTCCACCCCAGAGTGAACACAGGTCGTATGCAACATGCATGTTTGTTTAGTATGCATGCAGCCAGACCCTCTTCATGAATATTCACCACTCCTCTTGTAACCTGCTGCATATGTATGTTTAGCCAGCCCTTTCAGCATAGAGCTCCTTCCCCAACCTCTCCTCCCTTGAAGTACCTGTCTCTTTGGGAGGGCCACTGATACAGACAGGAGGCAGGGAAATACTGCATAGAAGAGGCAGTTCCCCAGCAAAGGCCCCTAAAAAAGAACTTCACATCCCTGTTTTCCCACCTGAATGGTGCTTTTTCCAAAACCACCCTGGCCTGCTGCACCCCCATCTTGTACCCATAAAAACCCCAAACGTCACTGACAGAGGAATGCAGTGGCACAGCAGAGAAGGAGAGAAAGAAGCATCTGAACATGAAGAGGAGTTCGACCAGGGAGGATTATCTTCTCACTCCATCCCCTTTCCAGCTCCCCATCCTGCTGACAGCCACCTCCATCCCTCAATAAAACCTCCACTTTCACCATTCTTCAAGTCCATGTGACCTGATTCTTCCTGGATGCCAGACAAGGACCTGAGTACCAAGAGGACGGGGTGTAAAAGGCTGTCACTCTGACTCTTCACTAAACTGGTTAACACTTAGCAATCCATGGATGACAATTGCTAGAAGAGAATTAATTGGCCAGGCACAGTGGCTCACGCCTATAATCCCAGCACTTTGGGAGGCCGTGGCAGGTGGTCAGGAGTTCAAGACCAGCCTGGTGAATATAGTGAAACTCCATCTCTACTAAAAATACAAAAAATTAGCTGGGTGTGGTGGTGTGTGCCTTTAATCCCAGCTACTTGGGAGGCTGAGGCAGGAGAATTGCGTGAACCCAGGAAGCGGAGGTTGCAGTGAGCCAAGATCACGCCATTGCACTCCAGCCCGGGTGACAGTGTGAGACTCCATCTCAAAAAAATAATAAAATAAAATAAAGAGAAATAATTGTAACACAACCCTAGATGCTACCATGAGGCTGGAGTCCAAAAGTGCTTGCCCTGGCCCTCTCACCCACTCACCTGCATGCTCCCCCTGCCACAAGGAGTTTGTGCCAGGTAAGCAAGCCACAAACTTGTTTGTGAGTCCCGCAAAAGGCTCCAGGGAACTCTCCTGTCACAGCACCTTAAAGGCTGTAACCCTTTGTAAGAAATAAAGTCTCCTCTCCTTTCCCAAACTTATAGATTATGAAGTTAATAAACTAAGGAGAAGTCAGAGGTTACAGAGTCGGTGACAAGCAGTGCTGGGTGAGAGCCCCAGGAACCCACAGAGGCAGCACCAGCCACTGCCATTACTACCCTTTGCTCATCCTACTCTGTGAGTCTCTCGCCCTTGGCTCTTAGGAGCACCTGATGAATCTCTCTCTCCTCTCTGCAGTGGATTTCGTCCTTCCACACTTTGATCCATCATCCGTGGTCCCCTCCCCATTCCCAGCCCTCACCCCCCCATCCTATCACACCTTTGGTCCCAGGCACTAAGATGAAAGAGCAGGGGAGACGTGGAAGAGAGCTGACCAGCCTCCAGGCCCGTGGGCTCCAGGACCCTCCTTCTTGACAGAGGGCCCTGATCAAAACTCTAAAAATGACATTGTGGTGAGTACATTTTTGCCTGTGGTTTCTTGGGCTTTAGAAAGATCTGGTTGCCCGTTCCCAGCTGTTGTGCTGATGGCCAGTGCCTGTGGTTCTCACACTGGTCATTTTAGAGTCACCCAGGGAACTGGATACACACACCTAGGCCCAGCCCTGTCCTACCTCATTGAGCATTGCCCTGAACTTCTTTTTAGCTCTGCAGGTGCTTCTGAGACCACCCAAGGGTGAAAGGCACTGTGTGGGCAGATGAGCTAATTTGATGTTTTTATGAGCACATGTCAGTTGGTACTAATTATCAGTCCAAGAGCAAAGCTTTTTCCTTGATGACTCAGATAGTAAAGACCTTCTAGACACTATGAGTCTACTGAAAAGATGCCCAGTCCTGGCTAGCCAGGAGACGAATGGGATGCTCCGCTTCGACTGGGTGGGCTGCCACCCCATCCTGCACCCCTAGGTCAGCCTTTCCAGAAAGAGGGCTCTGGAGGGGTGGCCCTCAGCTGGGTGGTGGCCAGGGGGGCTCCCCTAGGGAAGCTGGAGAGACCCAGAGCTGAGCTCTGCCTGGGGAGGCAAATGGATGGGGTCCCAGAGATAGTCAGAAAGTCATTCACTGAGAAAGAAAAGAG